TATCTGTAACAAATCTTGTGCGAATTTATTTATAATTATCTTTATGCCCTTATTCAATTAATAAAAAGTTTAAAAGAAATAAAAAAAAAATACTAAAGTGAAATTAAAGATAAGAAAGCCATCATTGATTATCACTGATTTCTTAATAACAAAAATTTTAAAATTCAAGTTGAAAAAGTTTCGCTTATATGCTTTAAACAAATTTTTTGGTCTGGAGAATTTTACAAACTTTTACATGTTTTAATTGATAAAAATCTATTTAAAATATTTAATTAACATAAGATACTTTAGGCTTAAGATCACCCTGCACATAATATTATTATTATTTATTATTTGATGCAATTCCAAATTGATATTTAAATAAAATAATATCAAATTTTCAAATTCGTAAATAAATAAAAGACAAAGAATTAAACATGCAAAACATATGATGAAAAATAAAATATATTTAAAAAAAATTAAAGGGAAAGAAAACATGTTATTATATAATATTAATGAGCACGTGTGACATATGATTAAACCTTTCCTTATTGGGATTTGGGAACTGTATGGAGCTGAAGTTTCCTTTTTTTTTTCTTCCATGCATTAAAGTTCTCATATTTTTAATAATTTGTTCATTTGTTGTATTAATATGGATACATCAAATTGCCAATACTAAGTTTGAGCCAACCCAACTATTCAGAAGAGGTCAGTCTTATAGGTCAATCAAATCGAATCAGATCGATCAAAGGCTTCATATTAGTCATATATATAGAAAATTTTAATGCATATCTCATGTATATAAAGAGTTTTTCCATCTTTAAATAGCAAGTCTCTAGCAAACCTTAAGACACAATAACTTATTTTTCTTGTTCTCTACTTTCAAGAAATAAAATCTGAATTGTTCTTGTAGTCTCTCTCTCTCTCTATTTTTTTTTACTAATCTTATAGAAAAACTCAAATATCACGATGCATTTTCCGATCTTTTTCACATTCTTATATATGTTTATAATTTTAAAATTTTGATTGAATCTTTTCTCAATAAACAAAAACTTAATGTAAGCATATAAATCTATGTTTGTGAAAAACGTAAAGAGGCATTTTAACACACATACTTCCCTTTTTTTTTTTCTTATAGAAGCTTTTTTTTTGTTAAATCCCACGAAAGGAGCCTACGCGTTAATATCAAAACAGAGTTACAAATCTTTAAAGGTATCAAAGCAGTCTGAAAATACAGCAATTGAATCAGAACCTATGGGCCTCGAGAACCAACTAATTACACAAAGCAAAACAAAACAAAATCTAAAAAAACAAGCAACATGAGCTCCAAAGCTACCATCAACCAGTCATGCAGCCTCCAAAGCAGTTCGTGCAAAAAAAATAAATAAAGAAAAGGCCAAGAAAGCAAAAAACGAGCATAGCATAACAAAGTCAACGATGCATCCACCACACCACCATAACCACCATGAGTCCAACAAAGAGCAAAAACCTTTAAACCGAGCATAAAGAGCCTCATCACCCCATCTAACCAAAAACCCACAAAACTAGAAGTAGATTATTGCTTACTTCCACCATTAGAAAAGCTTTTATGAATTTTACTATTCACATTTAAACTATATAAGTCATAAAAAGCCTTCAACTGCTCATCCAAACCCTCTCCAGCTTCCCCACGAGGCAAAGAAATATGCCCATCCAGCCAATCCGATTGTTCCACGCTATTTTTAAAAACATTAGAAGACAATTTGGCCTTTAATTCATCGGAATACATAAATTCAATTGGCACATCAACAAAATGTTCCTTCTCAATCACCTTCAAGTTACAGGTCAAACCCACATTTTCATCACAATCCACGGGCACATAAGAAACCATAGAAGACACAGAACCAATAGTGTTACTAGGCACAAGATCAGAGGAAATGACATTACCACCAGAATCCAAAAGAGCAGCATATTCATTTCCAACTCCAGACAAGATGGGAATAGCACTGACAAAGCAAAAAATTATCAATTTCCAAAACTTTCATAACACCTACCTATAATGCATTATTAGAATTCACAGGCACTATGGGCTGATCAACCCCCACAATAGTCGCTGGTTCACCACCCCCACAAAACAGGAACCAAATCAGTTGCACCATGATCAGAGACCCCACAATCCTCTCCACCAGCACCAAGCGGAACACTATTACCCCCCACAAGAGCAACAGACGAAAACTCATTCACAGCATTTACATCCTCCACCTTCAAATTATTAATAGGCAAAACAAGAGTAGAATTAGGAATAGCAACATTAAATCGATTAGCCTTGACAGCAATAGCTTGCCCATCAGCAATATTAAGAGAATTAGCATTAAGAGTCATATTCTCCTGGATAGAAGTCAAGAGGGGACAAGTTTCTCTCAAAATGACCAATACATTTACAATAAACACAAAATTGAAGAAAGACTTCCATCTCAACAGGTTAAATATACCCAAATTTTTTAGATCAAATCCACACTCTATCAGGATACTTTTTGGTGATATCAAGTTCGACCAACACATGTGCAGCAGATAGACGAGACCCTAAAGAAGTTGCATTGTCAATCTTCAAAGGCCGCCCAAAAAAAGTTCCCAATCCATGAAGTATGTGAGGGGAGAAAAGGTTTGGCCTCAAGTTTGAGAAGAAAATCTAGATTGGGATTACATGTGACTCAACACCAATATCAACAAAAGGGAACCATTTAGTTAGTTTCGTGTAACAATTGCTAACGAAATAGGATCGGTGACAAAAGACCCTGCTATAATTTAAATCGTTCACCAGCTTAATCAATACATGTATTTGATCCAACAACGTGACTGAGACTTCACCATTCAATTTGAGTTGAAAAAGAACCTATAGATAGAGCCGAGGGAAGGCCACCGCAAGGGGAAAAAAACTAACCAAAGAGAATTTAAGGGGCGATGCCAGCGAGAGGATCTCCTCCTCCGAAATCCAAAGAGAGGGAAAATCTTGAAAAATAGTTGATTTTAACTCCGGAAAAAAACCAACCGAAGAGAATTTAAGGGGTGATGCCAGCTTATTCTTAGTAATCCTTGCTGGAGCTATTTTCTAGCTGGTAGTTCGGGTTTGTCCGATCTTAATTATTGGTTTACTACTACTTGTTGCATTTCTTGTTGGAAAGGTTAATTATCTGCATTGGTACAAGAGGTGGTTTGGGAGGAGGTTATCGTCTATCTACCATTTGGAGGGTTTTAGTAAGATTCAAGTTTTCTATGGTGTGTACTGAAGTCCTTTCTTTTTGTTAGGCTGAAGATTTCTGGATTTGGTTTTTGGTGAGATTTTTAGTTCTCATTATAAAGGCAAGAGTTTTTCTACTAATAGATCTCTTTACTTTATGTCTAATGTCTTTTTTTGGAGAGTATCTTGCAGGGACTTATCTGATCATAAAAGCTTCAAGGTGTGCAAGGTACCCTCTTTGTATTTGTTTTATATGCTGTTCTTTTTTGGTCTTCAATTTTGCAGGAAGTTTGCGCTGAACGTGATTTACTTGAGCTTCCTTTTATGGGTGATGTTCTCTCACAGCCCGTGTTACTTATTAGGTCTTTTTTGTAATCTTAGGAAAAGGAACCACTGGCTCGTAGGTTTTATTTCTTTTTATCTTGTAGCTTGTTTGAGCATTAGTGAGCTTGAGGTTCTTTCGAAGGACCTTGTAACCGTTTTTTTTAAATTAACACGTAGGCCCTTCTGTGAGTTTTAACCAAAAAAAAAAGGGCGATGCCAGCGAGTGTTCTAGAAGCTTCTATATTCAAGATAAAAGCTTCTTAATCCTATTATTATAACATTTTTTTATAATTGTGTTTTTTATCTAAAATAAAAATAATAAAATCTAAAAGTTTGAAATCTATTTGAATTATTTGAATGACATGTATGCCTAAGCTAAAGCGTAGCTATAATTGAGAAGTAGTGAGTTTTAGAAGGACAAGGCAACCAAATAATAATATATTGGTTGTGGAAACCAAACGGCTAAGAAATGGGATGCATAAATGTTGAAAGCCAAGTTGGTCACGTGTAAGCCAACACCTACCCTTTCTTTTTGTCATTAATGCTTTATAATCGTGATAGAAGAGCTCAGATCGAGTTGCATGTAACGTATATTTATACACCACATCATAATACATCTGGCAACCATTAACGTAAGAGAAAATATTATTATATTAAGAACTTAACAAATTTCTTGTTAATTAAGATAATTTAATTTTATATAAAGTTTAATAATTGTTAAGAACAAATAATGTTCTCTCTATTCCATTTTAATAGTTGTGTGCGTTTATGTCAGATAAAAATTCCACTATGTAGAATTAAAATATATGCATATATACTTTTAATACATCTATATATTTTTAATAAAAAAAAATTGTAAATCATTACTAGTTTATATGTAAATATCTAAAAAATATTTTTGCAAATAAAAAACTCAAAAGTTAATTTGCAAAATTTTATCTATCTACGCATTAAAGAGATTTTTTTTTTTTAATATATACATATTTTTAATCAAGCATTATAAAAAATTAATTTAGCATATTATGATTGAAAATATTTTTAAAAATATGTACATGTTTTAGTAGTATTTTTTTCTTAATTCTACATAATGGAAGCTTCGTCTGTCATAATTAAACACAGAAGTATTTAAAATGAAATAGAGATAACTTTATTGTTGCTTAATAATTATTAAAAAATAAACAAGAAAAAATGATTTCCCATTAATGCATAGATACATAAAATTTTCTGGATTAACTTTTGAATTTTGTATTAGCGAAATTATTTTGTAGTTGTATATCTATATAGAAATTAGTATTGATTTATGTGATTGCTCTCTTTTATTATATATACATAATTTTTTTTTCCATAAAATTTGGGTTTTTTTAGGCATGCTCGGTGTGCTTGGTGGAAGATCTGTGCTATGCCACCAAGCCAGTATGGTCCACAGAGCACTATCTTTACTCTCCTATATATAAGGCAAGCAACTTCAAATGTAGGTGCAAGCCAAGTTAGTTTGTTCTTCTTCAAATTACTTAGCTAAGCAAGCTTTGGGAACGGAGAGGGGAGAAGAGGGAGCAAATAAGGAGTCCTTTCTCTTTTTGCAATCCATCTTCGTCCTTGAAAATGGCTGGAGGCTTGTCTTTAGAACATCCTTGGGCTTTTACCTTTGGCATATTAGGTATATATGATCACCATAATTGATTAGCTTCCCCTTATTCCCTTTTTGCTTCCTAGCCCCTCAAAGCATTCTCAATAGTTTTCTTCCGGTCCCTCTTGCTCCTCTACTTCACTAACAAATTAAAAGAAAATTTATATTCTTACTTTCTTTTTTCTTTGTTCCACATTGTCTGTTGGTCTTTTCACGGCTTACCATCTTGTTTCATTAAAGTTTCATTCTCTTGGAGCAAAAATTCATAGAAGAAGTTTTGCTTTCTCTCTCTTCTTGCAGAGTTTGAATAAGATGACAATCTTTCTCACATATATGTACTTGTTGTAGGTCTGCTCATAAATAGAACAAATAAAATATAATATATATTTATACAATAATCTGCCAAAAGAATTTTCAACCCAGCAGAGAATTCCTATGGCCTACACCAATAGAGTATAATAATAATATTATTATATCTAGTTATCAATCTTATAAACTAATATAAACAATATCACTGATACAGAAATTTTTATTTTTTTTTACATATAAACTAATATACTGATGAATTTAATTTATTTACAGGAAATGTTATCTCATTCATGGTCTACCTTGCTCCACTGTAAGAATTTTTTTTTCCATTGCAAACCCTTCGATAGTGAATATTTTACTATTATATAAACTAACATGTTACACATATGATTTATTGCAGGACAACATTCTATCGTGTTTATAAGAAGAAATCCACTGAAGGATTTCAATCTCTTCCATACGTTGTGGCATTATTCAGCTCCATGCTTTGGATCTTTTATGCATTCATCAAAGGCCACGATGCGCTTCTTCTCATCACCATCAACTCCTTTGGCTGTGTCGTTGAAACCATATATATCATCGTGTATCTCCTCTATGCTCCTAAGAAGGCAAGGGTAAGTATTTTTCTTAATCATTTAAATATTCTGTTTATACTTACTTAAATATCAAAGTACTAACCAGCTAACTTCAATATTAATCATGTTAGCTAGATACTCTTCAAAGTTCATTAATGTTTATATTTCATTAAATTTATTTGATTATTAATTATTATTATAATTGTATTCAGGTGCACACATTGAAGATGTTCTCGCTCTTAAACTTTGGACTATTCTCTTTGATAGTTTTGTGCACTCTGCTCGTCTCCAAGGCTTCCCTTCGACTAAAAGTTCTCGGCTGGATCTGTGTTGCTTTCTCCGTCAGCGTCTTTGCTGCTCCTTTAAGCATAATTGTATGTTATTAAGACCATAACTAATCCATAAAACTTTTTTGTTAAATACTTAATTTACCGTAAATTATAAGCTTAACTAATTAATTTGAATTATCATGCAGAGGTTGGTCATTCGAACAAAGAGTGTAGAGTTCATGCCATTCTCCCTTTCATTCTTTCTCACGGTGAGTGCAGTGGTGTGGTTCGCCTTTGGCCTCTTCTCCAAAGACATCTACGTTGCGGTAATTATTATTTAATTGCGACCATTTAAATAATTAAATTATTGATATTAACATCTTGATACTAACTATGCTGAAATCTGGCATACAAATATTTGTGTTTATGTAGCTCCCAAACATATTAGGATTCACATTTGGGGCGCTTCAAATGGTGCTTTATATCATCTACAAGGACACCAAAGTTCCTGCAAGCTTAGCAGTGGATAGCAAGCTTCCAGAGAATATGCTCGAAATCTCGAAACTTGGACCCTGTGAACCAATTGATGTCGATGTAGCGACCAAGCCACATGCCACTAAAAATGAGATGAGCCCTGTATGAGGGAAAATTATTCAGTGCGGAATCCGAACGTGTTTGGAGGTGAATCCGGGCATTCGGATTCATCTCCGAACAGTTCGGATTCCGCGAAGTTGAAGTTATTGAGTTGCAATTCTATCCTCAAATGGAGAACACTTCCTTTATTTTATCATGGTCTTGTCAATAATGTAGTGTTGGAGGGATAGAGATTGTGAAAGAGAGAGAGGGTGGATTGTGAGAATTTTCTCATATATTCTGCTTTCTTTCTTCTCAGTCTCTAATTCTTCTTATGTAGTTATGGATGTTAAGAAGTTTGTTGTTGTTATCCTTAACTTATTTATCGGAATTAATGAGAATAAATATATGTAAGCATGATTCCATTAGCAACAAGTGATGCTTTCATGCATGAACCAACTAATCTTTGCCTTCTGATACTTGGAAATGTACTAAGCCTAATATAATTTGAGAGGGTGATTCCTTCACATTTTATTATGTTTCATACGTCACTAATTGCAATTAATTTTGAACATCTTTATTTATCATGCGGCTTAATATATTTATTGCTATTTGAGACTTGCGTGTACGCTAAAGTTTTATTTGGGACAATTTTCTTCTTACTTTCTAAAATAATTTTCTAACACCAAAATTTCTAGTTGAAAAATTTTTGAATCAAAAAGTTGTTTTAATAAGCAGTAAGAAAGCTGTGCCAAACGAAGCCTAAACCACAATAGAAATTTTAAAAATTAAACAAAATGGTAGCTGGGATTTTAATGTGGAACAAAGAAAATAAATTTTAGTGGCTAATTACAAAAAAAATTCACAGAATTTGATCAGTCATTATTATTTTCTAATACAATTATTTTTTTTTAATTGTAAAAAAATAACGGTCAAAAGCTATCTCAAATAAAATCATAGTATTACAACTTGAACATTCAAAAAATATGAAGATGGTCGAGTATCAAGAAAGGCAGGACATATATATTCTAATTTATGGTTTAATCAGAGAGGTTTACGCAGGAAAAGGTTCAGACAGTTCAGAATTTTATTGTTATTTTTTTCGAAAAAAAATAAATTTTCCTTTGTTTTATTCAAATTAAAATTATTTTTAATAATTTTTGTGCCGTTCTGAACAAGGCTAAAGAGCTCTGCTTCTATTTTATCAAACTTTTGTGATGTGGCATACCAAAAAAAAAAATTCTGAAGCCTAGAATATGGTTTATTGGGCTAGCAATATTTCGATTAGATGGGCTGGTAACTGTTCATCCATGTTAGAAATCTATTGCACTTATGGATGTAACTATTTCTAGTTTCCACTTCATGATATTCAGCCACTCATGTAATGTTGGGGTTCTCCATTTTTATTAATGGTTTTGTGTTACTCTATGCATCAAATTGGGCCTGTTTTCTTTTCTTTGACGTCGATCCATGCTCACGACATTTGATAGGATGTTGAATCCAAATTTATTTATGGATGACACACAATGTTACTAACTGGCAAACTCTAAGATGGCGACCTTGAAACTTATTTGAGAATGGAGAGAACAAATCTACCAGAAGAAATATCTAGTATAAATTCTCAAAATGATCCTCTTCACCCTTTATTTATAGGGATCTGAGGGTTGTAGGAATGGCTTTATTTGCCAGAATAAAAAATACAACAATTAATGACATTTTATATAGATTATCCTAGGCATGTGTCACCTTCTAGTTAGCTTAAATGCAAAAGATACTATATAGCCTTGAAGATTTGTCTATGGGCGAGTTCAATAGTGCTACATGAGTTAGTTTATGAGTATTGAGTTGAAGGGGCCTAGCCTATAGCTAATAGATGCTTTCGAGTCGCCAGCAACCTGTGTTGTGTAATATCCATCATTTAAAATTCTGGTAATTTATTTTTAACAATCATTAATTTTAAGTTAATTAGTACTTAAGATTCTTAGAAGGTTGAATAGAGAGGAAGTAACTAACATTGGGGTCTAAGAAATGAAAACCCAAGTTTTAGAAGATTTCTTTGTGGGTGTCGCTATGCCAGAGTTGATAGTGCAGTAGCATTGAGCTCTCAAAAAAATAAAAAATAAAATAAAAAATGGTTTTGGCAAGCGCTGTGGCAACGGGTCTTAGGTGAGCTTATTCTGGGAGAATTTTAAAATTCATTGTAGGCGCTTCGGGGATGGAATCAAGTGTCGTGTCGCTAGGTCAAAGTTGATGCTTTTCAAATGTCACAATATCTCAAACCATTTTGGTATGACATTTATATGCCCAGCTTGCTAGAAAAGAAGAGAGGAGGAAGAGAAGAGAAAATAGAATGGAAGAGAGAGGGATTTGGAGTCCAAATCTCAGGATTCGTCCGTTATGCTAGTTCGGGATATGGTAAAGCTCGAGGTAGACTCGCAAACCACTATTTCTGATTTTAATTTCAATAAGTTTATAAAAGATATGAATGAAAAATATATTTTTCTCATGTTTTATGACATTTTTATTGTGTGGTTTTGATATGTTATTGTAGTCATTATTGTTAATGTTTTGGCTATGTGAAATCTAGTTTCCAACAGTTGGATTTTCCTACATGATTTTTTTAGTATATTATTAAATTGAGGCTTTTGCGATAAATACAATAATTATATAAAAGCCTTGAAATATTCACGAGAATTTTCTTTTGAAGTTAGAAATTGAAAAAAGACAAGTTCAGTGAGTAGTTTATTTTATAAGTAATGTGATTGCTACTGGAAATTCAAGCACTTGCTGAATAATGCATTGAGTACTGTTACATTACAACTAAATTCTACATTTTATGTCATTGGGAGATATTCTACTCTGAAATGTTAAAAAGTGTAATTTATGTTATGTTACAAGGGACCTAATAAATATATTCTTCTAGCCCTGTCTTCCTGAAGCAGATGTGGAAGGTTAGGTAATACTACAAGTATTTTTCTGGCCCTATCTACCTGATCAAATTGTGGGTGGGATTCTGACTCTACTTGCTATATCTAAGTGAGGCAGATATTAGTGGAAAGTAGAGCTATAAGAACGTATCATTACATGTATATTAGAATCATTGTATTTTATATGCTAAAATTTTAATGAATTAAACTTAAGAAATGTTCTAAAATATAAATTATTGAACTTTGAATTTCTGCATGAAATCTATTGAGAAAATAAAAGTGAAAGTGAAATGCAAGCAAACCACTTATTATGAGTATTTTGTGCAATATCTAGTTCTATGGAAGTGACTCTATGGATATGAGAGTATAAGTGCTAATTTTGAGATCAAGTATATATAGAAACTCTAGTAAATTAATTTTTTTAAATACTTTACTTTTTTGTAAGTCTTTATACTTTCCTTTAATCAATTACTTTTAAATATTTGCAATGTATATGATACCTTTAAGGGGTGAAGAAGAAAGTCTAATGAGCTAGTGAGGCTCACCTTATTATTTTAAATTTTTTCAGGCTAGGGAAAGACTTTAGTAGAGTGAATCGGATTAAACGAGGATTCACTACAATAAACATTATTATTTTCGATGGCCAAAATTTACCAGAAATGAACGTTAACCTCAAGAATATTGAATTTTCTACATATTTTCAACAGAAAATGGGTCGACAGTAAAACACGCATCGGAAATAGATTACCAACAAAAATAAGACCACATAATTATTTCCAGTGGAAATGTAGTCTGAGAAATAAGGGTTCAATATAGTTGTTACAGGTAAACTTTTTGCTGGAAATACTAACGATCAAGCCGATGGTTATTTTCACCGAGATTTCACCGAGAAAATCGGTGGGTATCCCCAATGGAATGGCCGCTAGAACTTCTGGAGGAAATATTTCGTTGGAACAGTTATATATAACAATTCATTGTATCATTGTTACTTGTGGATAATCCAGTAGAAACATGTAGCAGAAAAAAAAAATTGCCCTTCCTCTTTAATATTCTACAACACAACATTCATATAAAACATAAATATATTATACTCACATTTCAACTTAATTTGAATAGAAACATTAATGCATCATGCCTATAAAAATCTTTCTGCATATAAAAATATATAATATAAAATATTTTTGTTAGCTTAATTAAAAAAATATAATATATAATATATATTTATATTAGTAATTAATATCAAAATCCCTAAACCACAAGTTGCACATTTTCTTTGAAATTGTTTTCCATGAAATATAAGGAGTGTGCATCAAACTTGCTTCATATGATATCATGTATCTTATGTGTGGGCTACTTAAATGGATAAAATCTACACAAAATTTGTTAGGAAAAAAAATATTTCTCAAATTATCTTAGTAAAGTTAAGGATGTCCTTAGTACGTATGTATCACCCTCAGGTGCAATCAACATGCACCCATCTAACATTTAGTTTACTGCAACCAGGGTAAAAGGTCCACCTGTAAAGGGATAAGGTGGTGGTGGGTGGTAGAATTACAGGATATATGGTATATATGAATGAGTCAAAGAGACTCCATGAGAAGGTGGTGGGGAGTAGTAAGGGTAGAAGGGAGCACTGTGCATAGGGTCTGGTGAAGGAAAGTAGGGGTCTGGTGATAAAACTTAGGACTATCAGCTGGAGGAATAGGTAAAGGTGGGCTTCGCTAGCTTTGAATTCGAATGGTAGGCTGAGAGGTCCCCTTAGTACGTATAGGACGATCGAATAAGCCACTAATCACCTTCTTTCACCTGCTAAAGATGTTCTTAATCAATATCAATCTCCGGGGGGTTCATCAGTACTAGAAGCCATCTATAAATAATATTGAAAAAAATATTAGTAAGATATATGTATAAACCTAATCTTATATTTTTTATTATGTAGCAAAGGTAGGATGTGTTCGATAAAAGTATTTCCAGGCATCTGTTTCTGACAGATGTGTTAGAACACCTGCTTGTGAGATATGTTTGTATGTCATTTCATATGTAGACATGGGGAGCGACCCTCTGTGCTAGTTTGTGTCTTAGTATTGGGGGAATCAATAGAAAACATTCACAGCCAAAGGTGCAAAGATGATAGTAGGTTGATTTTTTATTTTAGCGGAGAGATGTTTTTAGTGGTGAGAGATGGTATCTGGTTTATGAGGTATGTGTTGTAGAGAAGATGGCAGTGGCAAGGTTTCGTGGTAATGCCAACTGGTTGCTGTGAGAGGCGGGATGGTGGTGTGACGTTGATGTCGAGAAAGCAGCGAAGCCATTAGCTCTTAGGAGCTTAAAGACTTGAGATCTCCACATAGGATAGTTGTCATTGGAGAGTTGGATAGGTACTATTTTTTAAACATTAGATATGATGACAAATTTGAGAGAGGATGGTATGTTGGGGTTCTCAGTTGAGGTGTCGATGGAAGATTCACTGATCTGAGAGGTTGTGCAATAGGCCATGGCTGCTGATGTAGGCTTACATGTAATTTGATACTATGAAGAATCTTGATGTCCTGAACTAAAGCATTTTCCAAGGCGAAGTAAAAAAGCAAAATAGTGAGTAGGAAAGTGAAG